AATGCATGTATTTGTAATGATTGTGTGCTTTTCACTAATGAGGAGGCAGTTTTGACTAATTTGGAAGAGGTTGAAATAGGGTTCTGAGCTCTTAATGACAAATTTTGGCATAAAAAACAACAACCTCACCTTGGCTTACCTCAAAACTAGAAAACAGTACAATAAATAAGACTACGAAGATGCAGTTAACAGCCAACAATAAACAAAATGATCTCGTCTATATACAAAGGAATTCATTTTTATCATTGCAACTACTGGGTACAGTTCAGTCTTAACACTTAATTTGTTGCTTAGTAATAAACAGTTTTACAGTAGTTGCAAAACAAAAAGGTTATGCGAGGGCTGAAAATTGGAAATTTACTAGAAACATACAAAGAAAATGAGAATGAGAGATAGGATGATAGATGTTTTGACAAAAGAGGTGTAAACCACACCAGAGCACTCGCCAACCACCCACCACAATTGTAAGGCTGAGAAACAATATATACGAAGATACACCACTGTCAGACTTCATCAGGGCAACAGAACAAGTGGATCAGAAACCTTGAACACCATAGTAGGCACCAGGGTCTTGGCTCAAGAAAAAGGAAACCGTTCATGTACGCACAGAAACCAGAGGTAGCAAGTGGGGTTTGAATCCTCAACGAGCAACAGCCCAACAGGGCATCTCATTTCATATGCACTCCTCTTTCTTCATGACTCGGGCCACCATCTGGTCTGCCTCACACAAGCACACACCTCCCGTACAACAAACACACACACAGATATACAAGTTTAACCATTAACTATAACCTTCCTAAGTGAAGTGATAACCAGTCACTCTTACATCAGAAGCATACAAACAATCAAACAGGTTTCCGTATTCATGTCTTGATAATTTCATCATGTCCAGATGAACGAAGGCCTGACATATTGACAACAAGAGACAGATGTTGAAGGAGAACTTCAGATTACACACAAAGAAATGTTCAAATATTTCCTGACTCCACCAACACAACTCGGACCCTTTAGCTGGTACACCGCTTTGACCTGGTCTGTGAGATCCAACTTAGAGCTTTTAGAATACATCCCAGCAGAAAAATGGATCTACAAACACGAGTAAAGAAGAAAACAAAGTCAGAATAAAAAAGAACATTGCACTGAATGAACCACAACCCCGTTCGTTACCTTGTTGATTTTTTCCTTTGGATGTGTGAGCAAAGACGAAAAGTGTTGCAGAGCATTGCAGTTTAGAACTGCCTGTGTCTGTTCATCTGTGCCAGTGACAATGTTGCCCACAGCCCTCAAAGCTGCAGTCTGAGGAACAAAATATGTATTAGTTACATTTTAATGAGTTTTTCAGCATTTACTCCACAAACAGGTCATATAAATGATGAAGATTATCGGTGTTACTAAAGAGTAAAAGATAAAAAAAGTAGGACGAATTAGGATGAAAGATCTTTGATGTGATAGGCAGAACAAACCGAACAACACCCGTCTACCGCACAAAAAATACAGATCAATTTTTTATACAAAATGCATTGACTACCTCAAACAGTCTACAACTACCAGAAGTAAATAATTTATCAAAGTAGCGACTAGAACTAATAGAGACGTGAGATTGCAAAGAGTAGAGCACCAACTAAAGGGCATGATCATAGCAACAGTGACAAAGAGAGATGACAAATCCACAATGCGTCACAACAATGAGAACACTTTGCTAGTACAGCTTGCAACAATATTAATAACAAAAATAAAGGTACCACACTATAGAAAAGCAACCAGTTTAGTTTTAGTTTTAGTTGAGGTTTTATGGCGCTCGCAACTGCACAAGGTCATACGCGCGCCAGAAGATTAGAGGTGCCACAAGAGAGTAACAAACATAAAAAAAAGAAGGGGAGATAAGGACGATATATGTTTGATAGGAAAGAAGCAAACCACACAAGAGCACCTGCCAACCGACTTAAACAATGGCTTGATCCTTCAACAAACATACTACAGTTAATAGTTGAGTGGTCTTTTACAGCTACAATAACCAGCTAAATTTTGTCAGCAAGTGAGAAGAACAATATAAAGGCTGAAAAGAAGTGGACATATTTGAAAGATCCCAATAAATTATTTTCATCCCTGTCTTTCTGCATAACAATGATCATAGCTGGCAGTTTCCGGATTTGTGTGAGTATAACTGCCACCCCACAGTAAATCTCAATGTTGCGCTCTAGGTCAAACAGCTGGAAGGTGGGGGAGGGGAGAAGAGCCTCCCATTTAAGCTTTACTCCAGCAGAACACACACACACAATACCACTGAAATCATCCCTACAATGCTCTTACCTGCACTTTGACATCCTGGTGGCAGAGGAGAGGGACAAGGAAGGGGACCACACCGCTGTCGATGACCATCTGGATCTGGTCATTACCCCCATCCGTCAGGTAGGACAGGGCCCACACTGTGTCCACCAGAATCTGGAGATGGGGGAGAAAGTGGTCTTGTTAAAAACACAAGTAATAAACAATTAAAAAAGAGGGCAGTTACAAAGAATTAGGCTATCTTATCTAAGTCAATTACCCCCCCCCCCCCATACTGCCGTCTTAGGAAAAAAGGATGAATATCGCAAATTGGGTCAAATAGAGATATCGATACCATGTGAAAGAGTATGAAAAGCTGCATCTTTTGAACCAGTGGCCATTACATTAAGAGATGTCCAAATACTTTATTTTGGTATTGGAAGTATCGTCATAATTTTTTCTTTTTAATTTATCTTATATTTTATGAAAGAAAGACGAATCTCTGGTCCTACTGTGAAAAAAGGACGAATACCTAGAGGTTCGTCCCCAGTTTACGAAAAAGCGACGAATATACCGATATTCGTCCTTCTTCGCCAAAACATGCCTACGTAACAATGCCACAGGTCTTTGGATGAAATACCAAAAGGCTCAAATCCTGGCATATCCGGCGTTGATCCCCGCAGTGTCAAGTGTGTTGCACGCAGTAAGACGACAAGCACCACTGCTTGTGTACACTCACCAGAATTTGAACCCCCGATCTTTGGCTCCACCGGCAAAGCGCAATTAAATAACAGTCTGAAAACACTTACATAAAACCAGACGAACCTCAAATATCACAGAAACGAAAAATCCAGGACTTTATTATTTGACAACGTCGGGTGAAAGAAAGACGAATATCGCTATTCGTCCTTTTCCCATGAAAAGCTAATTAAAACTTCATCAATCTGTTATGAAAGAATGACTTTTGTCTTCTAACACAATTTTTTTTTATATTTCCTAACAAAATTTTAACTACAAGTGCATAATTGCACCATCCTTCCTCCTGCAAAAAATCAAGTTAAAAATAAAATAAAAAACTTTTTAAACGTGAGACGAATAAATTTGATTTTTTGGCCCTCCTGGAAAATGGGTATGTCGCGATATTCGTCCTTTTCCCCCAAGACGGCAGAATAGGTAGAGATGACAACCCCCCCCCCTCCCTCCATCATAAGCAGAGATCACTATAATAACCCCATCATGGAGAAGGAACCAAAAGCAACTCACGTTGACATCTGAGTGGTGGATAAGAGTGCACAATGCTGGTAGAATTTCCTCGATAGTCTCCGCTGGAGGTGGCGGGTCCTTGTTCCGACACAGGTTGACGATGACCCACGCCACGTTACGCAGAAAGGGCAGTGGGATGTTGGGATTGATAAAGGTCAACAGGTGCTGGACAGCACCCAGGCTGATCACATAGTTCCTGCATTCGGGACCGTCACCTGCAAACATACATTGTAGTTGCAGTTCCCAGTCAGAACAATGAAGGCAGCATTTTGCTAAGAACAGACACCCCCCTCACCCCCCCCCCCCCCCCGTAGTTGGCTTAAAAACAAAGTTTTTGAACTCAGCAAAACATATTTGAAAAGCAAAAAAGTAAAAGAGAACATATCTGGTAAGCCATCTCAGGAACCCTTGAGATTTTAAAATAATTCTGACATAGGTAATTACAGAAAATCCCTCTTACACATAAAAACACATTTGGTCTCATTTCTATACTTTTAAGAATTTAGAAGGAAAAAAATAGGTAAAAACCCCCAAACTTACCAATAATATTACCCAAAGCCCACACAGCCTGTTCACAGACATTCTGATGTGGCGACCGCAACAGCTGCAAGAAAAATGGTACAGCACCTGGAGAACAAAAACATTAAATACATTAATAATGATTACCGCTAACAGCACACAAAAATAAGCAATACACAATAAAAACTAGAACTCCCCAGAGTGTCAACATATTTACCTACCTTTAAAAAATCACCACAAATCATTCCACACCATTAAAAAAAATATATACTCTAAACAAAAATTCACATCCCAAATGCAGGAGATTACGTGGAAAAAAAAAGTGAACGCATAATGATGGGCATCGTTCATGTAACCATACAAACAATTCACACACTTTTCGGCATTCAATAAATTCAGACCACCAAAGTAGACCTGTAGCAAAACATCGCTCCAATTGATGAAATAGGCTTTCTTTTTAATATTATTACCAAATCTAGTCTTGAAAATACATTATTTTTCGTCAACACTGACAAATCCAATGAGGAGCAAAAGTAGAAAATAGGGAGAACATATTTTCTTATAATACGACAGAACTATTCTCAGACCAAGAAAAATTTTTATAAATATATATTTTATGTGCTGGTTGAAAGTTATACACAAAGAATGAAGCCATACCTGCATTGACCACAGCCTGCGTTTGAGCTGAAGTGCCAGAGGCAATATTTGTTAAAGCCCATGCAGCCTCGAACTGTAAAGATGGACTGGATGAGAAAGAAAAGAGGAAGTTCTTAAACATCTAACACTGAAAAACAAAACACTACCAAGTGAACAGTAGCAGAACATAATCTATAGAAAAAGAAATATAAAAAACCCACAATTCATTAAAAGGCAAGGACTTTCCAAGGCAATATTAAAAACAAAACAACAATAAAATTATGTTTTCTTTCAAATTCTTTGGCAAAAATTATTTAAAGAGAGAGTAAATATATCTCACTTGTCATCTCTTGACAAACAGTTGACCAAGATGGGAAGGATACCAGATGTAATTAGATCATCAATTGGGGGGTTCCGATCACTTGACAATAATTTCCTGCAAACAAAAAGAAAAACTCAGGTTAGCTTTGTTCATGACAAGAAAAAGAAACTCCCCCAAACCAACATTTTCATCTTTCTTGTGCACAATAAAAAATTCTAAAGAAGCTACACATATTTTCATTTTCAAAGGTACTTTATACATCAAGGAAAATGTACAAAATTTAAGAGTGAAAACAACTACAAGGCTGGTACATATCGACTGCTCATCCCAATTTGAAACCAGAAACGTGTTTTCCCTTTTACCAAACGCATGGACATTTTTTTAAACAAATGCTTGTATACACACCAAAGGCTCCAAATTACAGAAATGAACGAAACTACAACTTGGCACATTAAAGGAAGACCAAATCTTATTTACAACACCCACGGACACAATAAAAATGAACACCCCCCCCCCCGTTGCAACACATAAATTACAACAAAACTTAACAGCATCTCACCATATACAAAAGTAGATGAATAAGTAGGCAGAATGTTGGAGCAAGAAGTCAGAAACCCCAGTAAGTGACTCACCTGGCTGCTTGAACAGCACCTAACTGAACCTCTGGCTCAGGGCTACTGGCATTGGCAACGATGGTTTCCAGGGACTGGGTAGTGGGTTTCTCATTATCTTCAGAATCGGTGCTGTCTTGAGTGGGCACATTGCGCCGTTTCAGCATGTGCTCTTCTTTTTTATTCTGAACATCAAAGTTAAACACACAAAATAATTTAACTTAAAATAAGGAAACTAAAGTTTTTAAAAAGAAAAGAAAAGAAAACAACAAATAAATAAAAAACCAATGTAAATGTCTTTTTGAAGTAAATAGAAATACAATTAATATACTGAAAGATTTCAATCCCTGAAGTTACATCCTGCAAAATCAAGAAAATAATTATGATGTAAATCATATTATAAAAAAGATTGGTTTATAGCGAGTTTGAAACCTTCCTAACTTAAACTGCACAGTAATTTTCCCAGAGCATCTTAAATTTAGAAAGGTTGCAAAACATTAAAACAGAAAAATGCACTGAATTTTGGCAAAGAAAATAGATTGATATTCACATTGCAGGCTTCTGGTACTGAATCATGAGAAAATGAAGAAGTTACAAAGTGGTTACTAGATAGTTGTTTACTACAAGCGCACATTTGATCACGATGTAGAATACAACATTGTCGCAGATAGGTTAAACTTTATATATTAGATGCTACTTTGTGAAATTCCATGTAATGGTATCTAAATTTTTGTTCAAAATGTCGTTCCATACTTTTCGCATGGCATGAACAGCAGAAAGGGAATCACTGCTGAACTAGGTAACGCCTACTGCTTAACTGCAGTAAAACGAGGCTGCTCATTGGACAGCATCAATTTAAATTCTCTAATAGGAATTTTCTCCACAACACCTTCAATTTTCTACAAGTACACAGCAATAACTTTTTAAATTATACTTATTTTCAAAAAGTGAAGAGTATTTCCCTAGCGGAATTTTGATCTTTATGTCTGTGCTGTTTACAGATTAGAGGTACCTTTTTTTTTTCTGAAATGAAAGATTTTAAAATTCAGGAAAACCGGTCATCAAGTATACATCCAACTGTTATTCTATAATATTACTATGAACTGTGGCACAAAGTATAACCATTTTCACACAAGAAAGAAAACAAGACCAGGCTGTATGGAACAAAGCACTTACTTTTCGCAGCTCAACTGTGACTTCTGTTCGTCTCCGACGCATTTCCTGTGAAAGAAATGGGTTTGTACACAAAGAATTAAAGCCATCAACAATTATACAAATAAAATAGAGAAATAGGCAGTGAATAACTTGTCTTACTGTGTATAAGCCCACAACCACCCACAATACTGTTTCCCCCTCCCAATTTCTTTGACGAGACTTTCTCTTACAACTTGAGAAACAGCTGAAATGTCAAGATGCTGCCTTAGGCCTTATATAAAAAATAGCAGGAAAAAAGCCCACCCAAATGAAATCTTTATGCAAACGAGGCAGATTGACCACTTATAACTTACTACGGAACTTGAACAGATTGGTGATGAAAAAAGGCCAGGACAATAGATTTTGTGAGATGATAAAAGCAGAGAAATGAGTGGTGACCAAACCACCATGGTTCATTTCAAACCATGTACATAAATTTAAGAGAGACAAAAGAATGTGACGAGAAGGGAGAAGGCCAAGAGGATGAGGATATGGGGGTTAGGGGATGGATATCATCAGTGTGAAGAAAGCGTTTGCTTATTAGGTTTGTCAAGTTTCACATGGTGACCATGGTCTAAAATGTAAAATTCCCATATTGTAAAATAAAACAGAGCTGCTAACCAAATTAACAAATCATGTTTTATAACATCTTGTACTACAAGTCAGGGAAAATCCATAGAAATCGACACCTTTGAACGTTACCTCCAAATAATTTAGCAATGCCCACCGAGCGCGTTTTGTTCTGCCATTTTTTGGCCCCCGCAGCGGGGGTGTTTCGTGGGACGCACTAACGCAAAGGTTGTTGTCTTCAACTCGCTCTCACGCCGCTTCTCGTGAATGGATATGAATGAAAATTGGCAGCCAATCAGAAAAGAGGTCAATCTCGTAGTATGCAGTTTGACAACATTGTACCCATCCAAAAAGTAGTCGAAAACGTTTGCGAAAATGGTTGATGTGGTGCGCTTTGAAGATTTTTCGGAGCTGTGATTTGTCAAACTGACTGATACGTTGCACACCATTTTTCTTTATTCCCTTAAAATTTCATGCTTCTGTGTTTAGCGGTTTTCCCGTAATCTTTCAAAATGTGGGAGTAACTAAGGGGAAAAAGCTGCATTGCCATTTGCGCGTGCTGGATGAACGACCGACCGGCGGCTGGGAAATTTCAACTGAGTGACGTCAGCAGCCATCGGTTGCCTTGGGCGATACAAACGAGGCTTATGTGAACCGGAAAGGGGTGGGGTGGGGTGGGGGGGGGGGGTGGGGGTGTAAGGATACTTGAAAACTAAATGGGGGCCTTAATAACTTGCGTTTTTGTTGCATTTTAGTCAAAATACAATAGATGTAGTCATTTTTATTTGCTTGATTGCATGACAGAAGAATAGAAACAGAAAAGCAAACATCTTGAGAAGTGGAATGGTATTGTGTTTGCGTTATGATAGCCTATTCCCCCTCTTGGGAAAGCACACACTTGAACTCGTCCTGTAGGCTCTGTCTGAAAAGTAAGGCATTAAGATTGCTATTAAAGAGTACGGTACTTATTTAGTCCAGTCTGGGAAGATAGTCCCGTTTATACATTGTTATCGTTCACACGTGCGTGCGCGCGCATGAGAGAGAGAGAGAGAGAGAGAGAGAGAGAGAGAGAGAGAGAGAGAGAGAGAGAGAGAGAGAGAGAGAGAGAGAGTGTTTGTGTGTGTGTGTATGAGTTGTGGCCTACACATGCAAAATATTCCCATGACTTGTAAACTATATTATCTGAACGCATCTTAATCTACCACACAATAGGATACTGTCCAACAATGGATATACACAGAGACGATCTTATTTTCTATAACAAAGTATGCATGCTTTTACTAGTAGAGAACTGGATTTATTAGACTAATAAATCCAGCTCTCTACTTACATATTTGTGACAAATTGATCCAGAGCATTGCTTGGAAATGAGGAACATTTTATGTTTCCAAAGTTTCATTCAAATATCAGGACTTTGGGAGAACATATGACTGATAATCTTTGTAAATCTTAAAGAACGTCACTTTTTTACCTGATAATGTCTTTACAACTCAAAAAGTATGACAGATATTAAAAATCTGACAGCATGACTAGATTCTGCATTAAAAAATGTACTAGACCGCCACGTTTCATTTACATATTCCAAGAAATAGACGAGCTATGACAAATTGTCTCAAAACGCACCGAAAACTGCCACATTTTTACCTATCCTATTAAACGTCTTCATAACTCAAAAAGTAGGATAGCTATGAAAAATCTGAAAGCAGGACTAGATTCTGCACTAAAAAATGTACTCGGTTGCCAAGTTTCTTTTAAATACTCCGAGAAATGAGCGAGTTATGGCAAATATTGTCTCAAAACTCACCAAAGAATGTCCCATATTTTGGGTTTTTCCCCATAATAATAAAAGTGTACCCAAAATTAATTGATTAAAAAATTTGTAACTTTTTTGTTTATTGATGGATTTCAAAATTCATAAAATGTTCAATTCTCTGTGAAGATACAGCTTCAAAATGCACATATTTGCAAACATTTTCTGGCAAAAAAAGGGTTTTCGTGGTCATTGCTACTTTATATGTAAAACCTCGCCAGTTGAGAAACTTGTTGGAGAACTAATGAGACAAAGAATGAGAGAGCCCACGAATGTCAACAATGTAGACCGGAGTGAATGAGTGGGGAGGGTGTGGCTTGCACAGACCAGAACGCATCGCGTGATAGGCCAGCCTAGTTTAGATTTATCTAGGCCTACCATTACCATGCCTCTCATTTCTCCGATGCGGGGATGGAGAGGCCACCGTGATGCGATGGATGGAGCGAGTGAGTGACGTGCGCAAGCAGACGGAAAGCACCACAGGGTGTGCTGGGGTGGGGGACAACATAACGGGCGAGTTAGCCTAGTTCTGATCCCCAACGCCGAGCTGTCAACATCGCTAGCGCTAGAGAAAGAAACCTGATTCGATTTATGATCAAGTATGGCCTAGAGGTCATGTTGAAACAAAATCACCATCAGGGGAGATAAACAGAAATAAACAGAACACCAAACTCATAGTTAGGCCTTCATTGTTATTTCCATTGAATTTACGAATTTATTACTGCATCCCTTATAACGAGAATCCTGCTACAACAAACATTTCGCACCAGTCCCATCCCTCTTGTTATAACAGGATTCCAAAGTATCCAGTTTATTCTCACCCTGGGTGAGAATAACCACTCAGAAAAATTATATCCGGACTCGAGTTTAAATAGAGCTAGCTCAGCTGGCCTTTAAGAAGATCATTCACACTAATCAGATCTAGATCTTGATCTAGATCTAGATAAAGATTAGCCTAGTGTGAAAATCGCAGCAAGAACAACTGATAACAAAATGTCTAGCCTACATTTCATCTTTTACAACTATGAACTAGAATCTAGAGGGCCCTTTCCATTTAAAATCAAGATCATGTCCTGATGAACACGGAAACAAAGTCAACCTGTGACTGTGACAAACTTTACTTTTTAAAATTTAAGGCTGACTGACCTTAGGCTACATCTAGATATCTAATCTAGATCTAGAATCTAGAGATCTACTAAAATAAAATTTCAAAAGTCGTGTTTTACTATCGTATCCATATGACGTGGGGAACTTGGGCCCCCACTTTTCAAAGAGGAAATTTACTCATTAATCCAATCCGTACTACGGCCATACACGCTTTTTTGTACAGATTTAGCAGTCTGTCAAAATGATTTTTTGAGAAATACTGAAAGTTTCAAAGAGATCTTTAACTACAAGTGTGAAAATGTGAAGAATACAACCCCTAGAGTACAAAATGACCCCTGGCATACGGATAGGGCAGGGTTAAAAGGCAGTGGTTTCAGTTTCAGACTCAGACAGAACACAGTCAAGTGTGACACAGTACAGGCTAGATCTAAATCTACACTACAGTAGTCTGTAGTAGAAAAATATCACAAGTTGGCCTCGGGAATCAAATAAACAACTGGCCTCTATTATTAATATGCTATCTTTCCAATTTCACCACTAGTCTAGATCTAGATTCTAGATCTAGACACCTAATCTAGAATCTACCTGCTCCGAGCAGGAGGATGATAATCATTATGGCTGGCACTGTACTTGAATTGAATGTTCTTGAGAAAAAAAATCGACTCACGTCTGCATCCTTGCCCTTGTTCTTGAACATCAGACCCCTCGTCCCCTTTCCTGCCGGATCGGTTGCCATATCTGCGATATAATAACGATGAACTGTAGCCTGTGTCTACAAAGTTAAATATTCTATCAGTTTAGTCAGTTTCTTTCTTTCTTGATCCTCTTCACACCTTAGAAATGTCGGACTTGATCATGCTTTCCGTCAAATATGTTACGGGCAATCTGATTGGACAAAAATTTGAGTAATTAGAAAAAAATTACTGAAGGATAAAAATGTCTTAAATAATTTTTTAACATTTAATATTATAAGCTTTTGAAGCAACTTGATTATTTTTTTAAATTCAAAGACAAAAACTGTAATATTTCGTCGCAGCATCCCAATTTTGCATTTGCGTAAAAATAACTATTTTGTAAGAATACTAATTGAAAAATATAATCTAAACCTGTTTCCCCTTATTTTTCATAAAGTATTTTGATAGCAATACACCCTTTTCAATATTCCGATCAGGTTTATGTCAAGATCACCGTTAAAATAATTTGTTTCGTCACATTGAACTAGAAAAAATTAGCCAATGACCAATGAGTTTGCAACAGTAAACCATTTGTCCGTTCCTACTAATTTATGCGATACTGTATTTTCTAAGACAAAGCTAAGCCAGGTTCAGTTTGGTATCTGATCACGGGGTGGGGTCAAGAAGAACATAATAATATTCTATTTATTATCATACTTGTTTTACTCTTCTGTTTGCTGTATTTTATCATTTCGAATTCTAAAATCTTTGACTAAGTAAAGAGGAAAAGAAGAAAAAAACATATGAACTGAGGATGAATCAGAACAGGATTAAAGTAGCATAACTCTTTGTCCGTGAAATCTTTATCAATTTTGTCAGTTCCCTCCCCTG